GTGGTGTCGGTGCTGGCCTGCGACCTAAAGAAGTCGAAGCCCGTCTCAGTGTGATGGAGACAAAGATGCTGCGTTGGACAGCCGGAGTCACACGATTAGACCACATTCGAAACGATGTCATCAGAGAGCGATTCGGTGTGGCTCCAATTGTCGACAAGATGCGCGAAGCCCGTCTTCGATGGTATGGTCATGTCCTTCGCGCGAATGATGACAGTGTCCGTAAGATCGGTCTCAACCGGAAAGCAGCCTAGGAGGCGCTTGAAGCAGCGGTGGCTCGATACGTTGCACGAACACTAGAAATCTTGAAAGAATAACATAAATTCGATTAAGCATTTAACGCGTTGACGACATCGCGCGTTTTGTGATTTTGCACCGCGTGGGACCAGAGCGATTTTGCGAGCGCAGCCGCCGCACACCAAATCCATGGATTTTGAGCTGTAAATACGCAATACTTAGATGCGATGAAGTGTTTTCATCTGTCTAGCTTATCGGGAGTTACAGTAATGGAAGTTTGACCGAAATGACGTGTTAAGGCCATGAAAAGGCAAATTTTACTTAATTTCCCTTTAGTGGTTCCAAAATTAATTTGGACGTGGTTGTTTCAGTAAAAACACATATCTTCCCATACGAATAGGTTTGTATTCGCTTCTATTATTCCTTTTTATCAACATGTTTACGTTATTGAAAAGAAAACGAGGAATGAACTGAACAGACATATCCGTAAGGTCTGGAAAACCTCTGCCAAACTAAAGAATATTTGGCCTTTCTGTGAGCCATGTGGTTTTTAAGTATGCTAATGTATGACCTATAGAATGAGTACAAAGACCTTAGGAATAAGTCGCACAAGCGCAAGAAAAAGGGATGACTTGGGTGGGACGCGTTACCGCGTCACAATGTCCCACGAGGTGCGCAAAGTGGGACGCGTTACCGCGTCACGCTGTCGTCAACGTGTTAATCGGGAAAAGGCGTCAACATATAAGAAAAGCGGACCTCGCCTGCAAGCGGGACAGACGCTAAAAGATAAGGAGGAGAATGAGGAAGTTACCATCAGGGCAAATAACAAATGCAGGAAATCAATTTGAAAATCACTTGAACACTCTCAAGGTCCAACGTCTGTATGGACAAGAAGCTTCTCGAGTGCAGTACTTTGGGCCTTACAGTAGAACTTAGCACCTAATCATTGGCAGATTTTTCGTGTTTATGGTCCTCTAACAACTGCTACCTAGGAAGTCCCCGCCCCCGAATTAAGCTGGATTTTTCGCATGCATGGTAAACTCAGAGACAAAAGGAATCTAAGACCCCAGAAGTCTGATTCCCTGAAGAGGGCACAACGAAAAACTTGGAATCATTAACAGGTATCAGACGTCACCGTGCACGCCTTTTCTCCTCATCTAAAAGCCGATTCCAATAAACAGTAAACATATTCCGAAACGAACCCAGCTTTTTTGCGGTACTGTCGTTCAACACTTTTTTGACGGTGGCTTGTTTAGGTAGGTAAATTAGCTTCTAGTGATACTTTGTTGTACTTACCGCGATTTCGGCTTACCCTTAGATGGAGAACAACTGCAATCGCCTGATCATTTCGACACCGGAAGACTACTAAATTTTCTCGAGGGCGTGTACTGAGTGGTTTGTCTAGGCATGTGGACAGATGTACCACGCGGATTCAATGGTTTTATTATTGCTAATCAGGATACCTAATGTAGATGAATTCTCATGCAAGGTATTAGGAACCCTTTCACTAAATTCCAACCAATTGGCCTGAACTTAGTGTCCAATGAACTTTTTCCACTGTCGTAGCAATTACAGTAGCTTTGTTGTTGCAGACTAAACATCGAAGCAGGAGGAGCACATAAATCCTCTAGAATAGTGACTATAAGCACGCAGACATGGCAGAAGGTAACAGCAGAGAGTCAGCGTGTTATTCCAAATCAAGGGCCAAACTATATGCATTCCTAAAGAAGACATCGCTCACTTCATCGTTGTACTCCATCTTGATGCAGGTCGGAAAGAGGGACTTCAAATGTGCAAGCATCTGAAAAAGATTCACAGAAGAAAGAGCAAGCCTGAATACAACAGTATAAATGATTGAAGAAATATAAAAATAGAAATAAAAGACTGTGATAATGTACCTGACTATATTCAGAGATGGTTTGACGTTGAGAGAAGAGGGCAGCGATATTAATTATTAGGGAGCCTAAAATATGCGTTAATTAGGTTGTCGCATGAATCATTGGCCATTTGCGTATGTACATATGTTGTGAAATCTCCAGAGATAATTTTGAACATCCATTGTAACGCATGTGTACCCTGGTCAATGGTCTCCTCCGAGCATTTCTGCCGTGGTATTCCACAGCAGTTAAGGCTGACTTCGACTTTGACTGAGCTACTCTTGATTGTAGAACCTAGAAAGCGCGTCAGATCGATGCGGCAAGGACCTTACGTCCTGTGATAGACCTGCATAATGTCCTTCACCACGTGGTAAACATTCGGTTGCCAATGTCAGGAAACTCGAGAAAAAAGCCAAAAGCCGGTCAACTTGGTGACGGTTGTCTTTATTTACTTATCTATGCGTATGCGTAAAACGCGTGAAAAAACCATGACAAGGCCAAGCTGGATCAAGGTTGCCCGAGTGAGAGATTTTCACATTTAAGAGGTAAAAAATTAAAACTCAATAATGACTAAACGACGCCCTGAAATGAGCCTGTGTTAGATAAGAGGGGGATACTATAATATAATATAAATATGATACATTAGGTTGGTAACTTTGAAATGTCGTTTTTGATCAACGATTATTTTAAGTATAAAAGCTATATCCAAAGCACATCAACCTAATTTATTTCCTCCATGTGTTCATCCACTCTCCACCTTTTGTTATGCAAAGCATGGAGGCCTACCTCGTAGAACTCTTCAGGTACGACTCGAAGAAGTTAGGTACTCAAATTTTGACGTCGTCGCGGTTATTGAATTAATTTGCTGCTAAGGAGCGCGGCATTGACCTGGCTCAATGATAGTGGACGGCGCCAGATCTGTGCTATATGGCGCAGAAGGTAGAACGTTCTAGCCCAACTCCCCGATTTTTTGTAGCGTAATTTTCGCGACATGTGGTCCTGCGTTATCGTGCCATAGTTTTATAATGGCCGGATTTCCCACTTGACGACGCAGCGCTTGGCCAACGCGGGCTGGCTGTTGTGCGCAGGGTTCAGCTGTAACTGTCTGACCAACAAGCACTCCATAGTGGGCCAGTCCTATACTGTTTCATCATGAACAAGGAGGACTTTTTCCGTGGACGTCCAGTTTCGGAGTCATCCTCAGCTCTTCCATCTGCTTCCAACCGCAACCATCTTCTCACTTTAATTATCTGGGAAGATCCTAGTGATAGGTGCGTTTACAACCAAGTCTAGAGCCTTCTTGCTGCTTGAAGTTATGGAAGAGAGTTCCAGTACTGGCAACCAGTACTGCTTGGTCGCTCAGAATAGACCGAACCCAATTTCTATCCTGAAAGGCCTATATCAGTCGCACGTAGAAACCTTTTAAATTTTACTGTTGACACAGCAAAATCTTCCTGGGTTTTCTGTGTAGTTTACCGAGAGCTCAATCGGTTGGATTTCCTAAATTCTTCATTTCTACTGGTACAGTTCAATATTCACGCTCTCCGTCCTTTTATCACAGTCTTGGAAGAGCTAAACCATAGCTGGAAGTGCACCAGAGAAAGTGTTGCTGCTCAATATTTTGCACACAATGAGCGAGATTCGTTGGCCGTTTTTCCTTGCTTGAATACGATATATGCTGTTTACTTCCAACGTCTAGCGATTAAGAGAGCTCCACGCCTACGTTACTTTCCCGAAAGAGGGATCTACCTCAGGGAATCCCTTACATTAGCGGAAAGAAAACGTCGTCGAGAGGAGCGTCTGGGTCGTCTAAACGAGGAAGTACATGAGAATATGAATTCTCAAGTACCACCTTCTGATGTAAACCAGTCAAACTAAGTACGTATCTCCGGCCTTTTGATATAAATAACCATAATCCAGAAACAATTGTCATTTCTTCGCTTCACTGTTTTTATACCAACATTCGCTCATTTTCTAGGAACAATATTTATTTTGACACTATTGTCGGCTCCAAATATGATTTGTACTGTTTCACTGAGACATGGTTCAAAAGTTATCACATGGTAACATCTATGCTCAATTCTTGGATACATGATTATGCAGTCTTACGTTGTGATCGAAACCATAGAACAGGAGGAGGCGTCGCTGTTTTTCTCAGAAATTCAATAACTTATTCTGTTATTCTCTCCGAATCGATTAATAACGGCTACGAAATTTTAGCTGCGGATCTCACTCATAATAATCTCTCCTTCAGAATAGCGTTGGTTTATAGACCGCCCTCAATTCCTTCGTTACTCAATGAACGAACTTGCAAAGGTTATCAGTGATCTTTCCATAACAGACCTACCTTGCATTGTTATTGGGGATTTTAACATTCCCGATATTGACTGGGCTGCTTGGAATACACAAGATAACAACGCTGTATACCATGATGTTTTGTCAGACATTCTCTACTTCCATGGCTATCAACAATATGTAAAAGATCCTACGAGAGGAGAAAACTTTTTGGATTTGGTATTCGCGAATAGTACGGAACTCTTACGCAATGTGAAGGTCATAGCACCGATTGGAGATAGCGATCACTCATGCATTTCGTTTGATATTCTTGGAAGCGCTACTAGACACACACCCATCCTTTGTAAACAGTTTTCTAATTGTGATTACAATAGCATTGCCACTTATCTACATAATGTTTCATGGGCTGACTCCTTTGAGTCGGTTTCTTCTGTTGATGAGAAGTATAGGATGTTCCTTTTCATTCTCCAACATACTATTCAAATATTCGTTCCTTCAGCCTATGTATATCCAAACAAACAACGTCTGCCATCCTACCTTCAGAAGATGTATGAACATAAAGAATGCCTCTTCAACTATGCTAGGCGTAGTGGGGATTGGACAGAATACAGATACTTCACAGAAAAATACAATAAACGTCTGTTCAAGTATAACAAAGGAGTGGAAAAGAAAATTATTGAGTCGGGAGATAAACAACGTTTTTTCAAATACATGAAGAGCAAATTGCAAAGCAATAACAAGCCTTCTAGTCTAAAAGTAAACGGCGTAATCCTTACTTCTGATTATGATAGAGCAAATGCTTTAGCCCAGGAATTTTCCAATGTATTTCAACACGATGATGGGAATTGAGCGGATACTCTTCATCAGTACTTCTCGAACAGGGTGAATATTTTTCCTTGCGCTAGCATACCTTGTTTTTGAGTCAGTGCTAAAAAAGATGGCCCTAGCTCTACTTCAATATACTCTGATGGGATCCCCTTCACGTTCATAAAGAATGTAGCCCATGTAATTGCGTATCCCCTCTCATATATTTTCAATCAATCAATTATGCACTCAGAGATTCCACAGTTATGGAAGCACTCCTTTGTAACGCCCCTTCTCAAAAAAGAGCCCTCATCGGATCCTTCTAATTACAGGCCAATTAGCATAACCTCACTTTTTTGTAGATTACTTGAAAAAATTCTTAAGCCTCACATTTTAGGACATCTTGAAAATAATCAAATTATTCCAGCATCTCAACATGGGTTCGTTCGGGGTAAATCCATCAGTACCAACATGCTTAGAAATCCTTAAATGACTGGACATTTCATTGATTTTACACCACTGTCTTATACAGCGTATTATAATAAATAAATAAATATACGCGGTACCCAAGACACAAGAGAAAGCGACATTTCAAAGTTACCAACCTAGTAGAAGTTACCAACCTCTTTACCGGTGCTCTTCTGCATATACACCTACGACCTTCCTATGTCTTTAAAGAACTAGGCGTGAATTACAAGCTTTCCGCTGACAGTATGAAAATTTACTATTCCGTAACAGGGGAGGCGGATTTTGCTAGAACCCAAACGGCTACTGAAAGAAGGCGATAGTTTAGGCCTAAAATGTGGCATCTGCCTCTACACCTGAATAACCCTTTGGTAGTTCATTTGTTAATTTAGGCCAGGGTCAACCCTGCGTTGCGCAAATTCCAATTTTTTTGCGACCCCCTCCATTTCAGGGGGTGTCAGTGCGACCCCCCCCCCCTATTTTTGACGCTGGTGCCAATTTGGCGCCAGCGTCAAAAATGGATCTAATATTCGTGATCAGCACCTCCGTAACCCTAATAGACGAAGTTCCAGCGAAAAAATTTTTTGACACCCCCTACTGGGGTTGAAATAATGCAATAGCGCCGGGAACCCTTCCGTACTGCTTTAGAGGCCTTTAGCGCGGCCTCTAAAGTAGTACGGAAGGATTCCTAACAAAAAGAGATCAGAAACATCCCTTAACAGAAATAAATAAGGCAGGAAACTGAATAGTAAAGTTTAAATTCAGGAATTCGCGCCCTTACCGCGGCGCGAGGTGCGTGGAGCGCGTTTTCCACTCGCTTGGGACGCGGATTTGAGGCAAAATGAAATATGAAAAGTTTTATTAGAGGAATTGAGAGGATTTTTTGTAAACCTAGGTACCGTTATGTTCCTAGTGGTCTCTAATTTCAGGTATGTGCCAAGATTTCCGTCAACGTCCAACCGTGTTTCTTGTAGAAGCTGGAAAATCTTAATCTCCAATAGTTACGGGCGCCTTCTTTGAAAGCTTATATCTTCGTCCACAGGCGTTTCATGGAACCGGACACCAAAATTTTAAAAATGCAAATAGTTTTCTTTCAAAAAAACATTTGAAATGTTGCGGATGTTCAATATTTAAAAAAATCGTCCCGTTGTTCCGTTTTCTGTGCACACGCGAGTTTTCGACATTCAAACATTCATAACTTTCTTCATAATCAACTTTTTGCAAATGTCTAAGGCTAATTAGAAACTAGAAGATTAGCGCTTTCAAACAAGCACCTGAAAATTTTCCAGCGATCATTCTTTCAAAAAATAGTCCCGTCGTTCCGTTCGATAAGGGTTTGGGGTCCGATTTTTGAGAAAGCGCGAGTTTCCGACATTAAAGCATTTATAACTTCCTTCGTATTCAACTTTTTGCGAATGTCTAAGGCTAATTAGAAACTAGAAGATTAGAGCTTCCGAATAAGGGCTAAAACTTTTTTGAAAAATCACTCGTTCAAAAAATAGTGCCGTCGTTCCGTTGAATTTCATAGACTTTTTTTCAAAGCCTTTCGTCTGAACCGCGACATTGCAATATTCAAGAACCCATAACTTCCTTCAAACTTCATTAAATGAGAAGCGGTAAAGACCATTAGAATCTACGCGAAGAGTACTTTATTACTAGCTTTAGCTTTTCATGGAATTCTTTCTTCTGCTTCAATTTCATAAGGGGTCTTTGAAATTCAATTCAGCAAGTTCGCTACATTTTGTTCCGCTTAGATTTGATTTAAAAGCATCAAAATTTTCTTGAGGAAGTTTGTCTGCTTACGGCCGCTCACAGAGAAGGCGTTTTTATGGGAAAACGCCTGCTCGGGTATACGCCGTGCACCTGTCTGTGGGTGGAAGTCGCACTCGCATTTGAAGGTCCTCCACTTTCCCGAAGAAGGTGATAGTACATGATCGAATTGCATTGTATGTTTTGCGAGTACCCTGCCGGCGCGCCCCGCGCCCCCTCGCGCGGCGCCTATTGTGTTTTTATGGTTTAATGGTTGTTCGCTTCCCATGAACTACACCTTGTCTGATTGAGACTTCAGGATGTTTCGAAAGTACGGTCCGTGTATTAAGGATAGTGATGGCTGATGGTGGGACTTATAATGCATGCATGCTCTAATGTTCCCTTGGAGCTCTTGTCTGACAACAGCACACAGCCAAGCCTGAAATATGATTACTATTGAGTTTATGGTAACTTCATGTCTTTTGGGACCATTCCTCCCAGCCTTTCACCCCCTGGTCCCTCTGTATGCGACCCCCCCCTTTTCGTTCGGCCAAATGCGACCCCCTCGTTGTTCTTTGCGCAACGTAGGGTTGACCCTGCTTCCAAGCCAGTACACTCACAATATTGGGAAGTGTGTGAACTAGAAAGATCAATGAGATTAAGGATCTGGGTTTTATCATCGATTAAAAATATCATTTGATTCTCATTGCAAGACCATAGCTAACAAAGCTTAAACTAAACTCTTCCAGCTCCTCAAATGTTTGTGCACTAAGGATCCCGTTATCCTTATCAGGGCCTTCAATACAGGGCCTTCAATACGTATCTCTGCCCTATCCTGAAGTATGGCTTTGTGATCTTCCCCAATTCGAAAAAGTTGATTTCAGTTCTTCAGGTGCTCAAAACAGCTTTGCTGAGAAGCTTTTCCCTTAAACATCGGGTTTCATCTACAGCGATATACCTGAGGGCTTTCTTTTCTTTTCCTGAAGTTAGGAATGATCCCTCCTCTGCAGAAGGAAGAAGTTGGGTCCCATGAAAGTTCGTAAAATTATCACAGGCAAGTCGTTGATGTATTGCAAGGGCTTCTTCATCATTCGCCCAGCACACACCAGAGTAGGTCAATTCGAACATCTTCTTACTAAATCCAAGAGTGGTACTCGTAGTAAGTTTTTTTTTAACAGGAGCAATGAATTCATTAAAGTTTGCAGTGCCGAGGAGCATGACACAGCTAAAAAGTAATATGCCCAAGTTTTACGGCTAGCGGGTTAGCGTTTTATTTCCCTATCACTACTGTTTACTCTGGAGTTGGTCACCCTTTTAGTTCTCTTATTTCTTCTACTTTCTTTCTAGCTTTCTAGCTTTCCTTTTTTATAATGTTTTGTTCTGGATCGATGGTCGGTATCATCACTGATGTTTGTTTTCCAGACTAATTTTTATTTTTCGTTCGTTTCATGCACGCAAGGTACATGTACCATATAAATAAATAAATAGGCAGAAACCGTTCGTTAGTTGATTTTTTAAGTGTCGTATATATGTGTGTTACCGATTGGTGCCGCACGCGTTGCGCGCGCAACACCGTTCTGCAGCGGTATGGAATGGTGCGGCGTAAATTCTCAAATTAGCCTGATTCACTACGAATACATCCAAGCTAGATTCTGACCGCTCCATCCACCGATCGCTTTTGACCTGTTCTTCTTCGTCGGCCATGGCCTGGTTTCCTGTTCTCTGGATTACGTCTGGACCGATTTACAAATCTCATGGGAAACTCCGCCTATTTCGTCGCATATCTCACCCATTTTTTCCCTCCTTGCCAATCTCTCCTACGTTTTTTCTGGTCTCTAAAGTGCCTTCATAGCTTGGCGACAATCCGCTTCCACTTTGGTGCAGGCCCCGCCCACCAATGAAAATCGACTTTCTCCCTTTGCCAGCATTCCATCCAATTTTTCTTCGGTTTCCGAGACCACTTGGAACCGAGTTGTAATTCCGACAACCAAATGCGCCCCTTTTGATGCATGCCCCTTCAAGATCGGTTCATGTCCCTGCCTTCGCCATTCTCAATGCACTTTTTCCCGCTCTTTGCCCAAAGGTTTGGGCACTGTGGTGTATGCCCCGCACACCGATAGCAGTTACCTTTTGAACCGCTGACCTCTACTTTCTCCCGGTCTGCACGACTTCTGAAAACCGAGTTCTAAATTTGGCAGCAAACTCCGCCCACTTTTGTACTCGCGCACAACCATTAACATTCAACTACTTCCTTAACCTCTATCCACTTTTTTCATGCTCTCTAGGGCTTCTTGGAGCCGGATTATGAGGACTTGTAGAAGACCTGCTCAGGGTGTACTGAGGGTGGGCCCCCGCTCACGTCATATATGCTAGGAACAGCTCAGACATTGTTTCCCTGCACCGATTTTGTTCCTCTCTATGGGCTGTCTCCGAGTCGATTTATGAATTTTTCCCCCGAAGGTGGGTCTTCCAATTCGATCTGA